TGCACAGACACACATACTCTCATAGCCTTACACTTTGCTTTCCCCCTGTTTTCTATCTCTCCAGAGCCTCTCAAGTCCCGGACGGCGCTCCCCTCTTCCTCCCCGCTCATGGGGAAGCCGTCGCTCCAGCTGGAACAGCCTGGGAAGGGCGCCGAGCCTCAAAAGGCGAGACACGAGCGGGGAGAGAGAGAGCCTGTTGTCTGGGGAGGGTGGGGAAGAGGAAGATGGTGGTGAGGACAGGGACGAGGCCGGGGGGAACAACAGACTACGGCCGGAGTCCCTGGAGCTGCTGCAGGCATCCACGCTCTGCCCTTCCATAGTGATGGAGTATGGCGACTGTAACGGGAGGACCCAGACATATGATCTGAATGTGAACTCTGACCCTAAGGACGACTCCTCGCCTGAGGACGACATAGATGATGACGTAAGTTGTCATGAGTCGTAACTTTCAAAATAACCTGAGAGAGAAATTGGGTAGGGTTTTATAAGCCTGGTGACACGTGAAGCATTTGAGCCTCCGTGGTTTAGCTCTCTTGTGTACATTCTTAATCTCCTAATCTGCCCTCTCTGACTCTGTTTACACAGTTTATTTCTGTTTTTTCTCTTTTTTGTACTCACCCAATTTTTTTTTTCTTTGCCCTTTTTCGTGCTGAGATATTATAGTGTGTGTGTTTTGTGTTCACACTGCAAGACCTAGAGAGACACTAATTGTCATGCTGTAATTGATTTGCTAGGGCCAGTAATTGTTTTCTCAGTGGGTACAAAACAACTGGTGTATGTGCAGTCAGTGTGGGAAGTGGAGAAGGGTGTACTTTGCGGTGGTTTTGGATGACCTCTGTTGCGACAGTCTTGATGGTTTTATTACCTTCCAATTGAGTTTATAAAGCCATGAAATTCTCCAGAACAAAAGGCCTCTCCCTGGACACACTGAATATGGGAGGCAAAACAGACCCTCTACCAGTGTATGCACATGTGGATGTGTGTGTTGCATGTGCGCGAGCAAGAGCATGCATCGGTGCGTGAGTGTGACATGCCAGCTGAGACGTGTATATCCACGTGGTTCTCCATGTGTGTCTATGTCGAGGATTATGGATTTTAGCTCCAAGGATATCCATGAGCAGCAGGTTCTTTTTATCCAGTTTAAACACACACTCACACTTGGACATACACATACACACACACACGGAAAGACACGCAGAGATGCACACACACTCGCACCAGCGGCAGTCTGCCAAATAAGCGGTGTTTGAGAGGCTTGACTTTGGGCTGTTTTTAATTAGAATCCTGAAGTACAGAAGCTGCGCACCTAAGCTCTCTAATGTTTGTTTTATTAGAAACTTTAATGAGTTTCACAACACTTTCTACTAGCTAAGTTGGGAGTCTGTCTGTTGTGGTCCAGTTACCTCCATCTCTACTTATGCAAGAAAACGCTTGTTTATTGTGCCCCCATAGATTTAATGTGCTAACATCAGCAACTCTGTGGAAACTCAGATTAAACTAAGTATTGTATTTGAATGCTTTTTGTGGTGTAATTGTTAATTGGGAAAGTACATTTCTCATAGTGGCTGTTGTTTTAAATGCAACATGCATTTGATAATATTTAATCAAATCTGTCTTTAAAAATAGGGAAACACATGTACTTCACACATCTGAGGCTTCCATAGTGTGTATGTAATATCTAAGTAGTTTTTAAAAAGGTGTTTAACACTAGAACCGCCAGCTTAAAATGGGTAAAAATGACACAGCATTACTGTGTTTTGCCTCGACTAGTCCAATGACAGCATGATTATGATGGTAATGACTGTAGCTTTGGTGCTGATGGTGTAATAAAGGTAATGATTTCACCGCTGACAATAAAAATGTTGATAACTATATATATTGATGATTTCCGCAGTTGCCATTGGCGATAATGTGCGTGTTTGATCTCTCACCTCTGCAGAGTTCTTTGTGCTACTGGATCAAAAAACAGCTCCGTAACATGAAACCCCGCTGGTGCAAAGAGCATGAAGACTGGACGCTGTATTTGTTCTCTCCAGACAACATGTGAGTCTCACACACACACACA